TTAAATGATATTATTCTGTACATTTATTTATTTGAATCTAACCAATCAAATTTCGAAATAAGATTTTTTTAATGTAGTCATAAGCGGCTCGTTTGGGAGGGATATTGGATATGTTTATTCAATTTTTTTTTGTCTTTTGAAAAGTCGCCATTTTGAAATGAAATTTAAAAAAATTCAAAATGGTCATGGAAAATAAACAAAATACCCAAACTTTAGGTAGATACTCAAAAAAAATTTTTCAATTAATGACTGTGCTTTTCTGAAGTAAAAAAATTAATTCATGTACAGTTTCTGTTGATACAATTTATTTAAAAAAAATAACGAAATGATAACTGAAAGTATTAAACACAAAATTAAATCTAAAGCAGATGCTCCACATGACGGCCATCCGTTTTTATGCACAAATTTATTCGTTTTCGTAAAGATCGCCGAATTCTTGCAAAAATTCCCATATTATTTCTAAATTCGTTGCAAGCATTCTGAATTCGTCTCCAAAGGTGATTCTGTGATTCAATTGGTTGCGAATAAACCATTGATTTGAGATATTCCCATACACAAAAATCGCATGGATTTAAATCCGAAGATTTCGCTGGCCAAGCAACGGGACCGCCTCTTCATATCTATCGGTCTATTGTCTAAAAACTCACGAAAATTCCTCCTAAAGTGAGCTGGACAACCATCGTGTAAATACCACAAGTTCTGTCGAATATTTAAATTAATGTCATCCAATAAATCTGGTAAAGTATTTTGTAAAAAGTCGAGATAATTCTCACGATTGGGCAATTATACAGGCCCAAGCAGATTGTCACCAAGGACACCTATCCATACATTGATGCTAAATCTTTCCTGATGTTTAGTTTCTTTTATGAGATGAGGATTATCACCAACATAAGAGTAGTAATGTGCATTGTGCATATTAAAAATTCCATCTCTTGTGAAAATAGCTTCATCAGAAAACAAAATGTTTAAAAAGAAGTGATGATTTTGATTTTCTTGCATTGGCAGGAAAATCACCATCATTAAGAGCCTGAACTTTTCTAAAGTGAAATGGACAATGTTCCACATAGATGATTTAGAAATATTATGATACATTGCAGCTAATCTTATGCTAATTTCAGGGCTTTCCTCGATTTCCATTAAAATATAATTCTCATATTCCTCGAATACGTCAGCATGTCTACCAGTTTCGTTGTTACTGGGAATTACAGATCCTGTTTCCCTAAGTGTTTGATGAAGAACGGTCAATGTTTTTGATGCAGAATGTCTCCTATTTGGATATTTCTCGGCATACCTATGTGACGCTGCCAGCGCGTTACATTGCATTTCACCATACACTAAATGCATTTCAGCATAATCTTCATTACTAAACAGAACCATCTTTAACTTTTAATATTTTAGAAATTAAGATAATTCTAAGCAGTAACACAAAACTTACTTACAGTATGAAACACCAGTCATTGTTATTTAGTTTATTTTCCACAGCCAGCTTATCATAATTAATTAATTTAGAAATTTATTTCTTAGTCAATGGAAACACGAAAAGTTTAAATCGATTTTTCTCGAAAACGGATGGTCATGGGGCCTTCAGACAAGAGCATCATTTTTGTGTGAAAATAACGAAACTTTTTAAATTTGATTTCAAAAAAAACGAATTTTTGAAAGAAAAAAAAAATTAATAAAAATATCCAACCCCCCCATCCTAGCCGCTTATGACTACATTAAGAAATTTGATTGGTTAGATTTAAATAAATAAATAAATGTACAGAATAATATAATTTAATAAAAATCCGCTTTGAAGATATTTCAATTAAACCGATTTTAGAGCACTATCTTCAAAGAGCTCTAGGAAGCATTTTTGGATTAAGCTAATTTAGGCTAAATCGTCATAAAATCGGCTCTAGATTTTGTGGTTTCAGGCTTTGAAGAGCGTTTCTGGACACCCTCTATATATTGGTGGGAGTTTAACCAATTCACCTAAAAATTTTTCTTCTCAAATGATCTTGCAGTTTCAGGAAAAGTCTGTAGTCGCTAGGTGTCAAATCTGATGTATAAGGTAGATGTTCTACCAATTAAAATACTGCTCGATGAATATCAACCATTGCAACACAAGATATATAACTAGGAACATTGTTTTGATGGAACATCTTTACGAAATTTTCTACGTTTTTCTTTTAACACATGACGAGATTTATAAATTACTTATGTGCAATAATTTTCAAGGGTAATACAGCAAGAAGTGATAATTTTTTCATTTTTTGATAACATTTTGTTTTTACGTTGGAAAATATGCGTCTAAATTTCACCAAACAAAATCCTCCTTAAGCCCTCTTTCACACGAGGATACTGTATGCTAGATACGCGTACCTATCTGAGATACAGAATCGCGGTCAAAAACTTGGGCTGCTGTATCGAATTCACGCATCTCTTCAATCAGTACTAAAATAGTCGCAGTGCCGTGCATAGATTTTTGAATTATGGATCTAAAACTGTATTGGTACTGTGGTATAAGTATTAAGAAAAAAGTAATATGTGTGTCATGTATCCCATAAACAGGGATTAGGCTTAGGAATTGCCGATTATCAAAATAAATAATCGATTATTTGCAATAATTGATTTTTTTCGATTAATAATCAATCGAAAATAATCGATTTATTAATATAAACGATTATTCGAAATATTCGATAAATCGAAATAGTCGATTAATCGAAAATAATCGATTCATTAAAATAATCGATTATTCGGAATATTCGATATTTCGGAATAATCGATTAATCGAAAATTAGCGAATAATCGAAAATAATCTAATAATCGAAAATAATCTATTAGTAGAAAATAATCGATTAATCGAAAATAACCAATTGATTGATTATAATCGATTAATCGAAAATATTCAATCAAAAATAATCGATTTAACGAATAAAATAATCAATTAATTACAAATAGTGTATTTATAGAAAATTATAGTTTGTTCGAACATAATCGATTAATCGAAAATAATCAATCAAAAATAATCGATTAAACGAAAATAATCAAATAAACGAAAATAATCGATTATTCGAAAATAATCGAAGATAATCAATTGGTCGATCATAATCGATTAGTAGAAAATAATCGACAAATCGAAATAATCACTTGATCATAATCGATTGATCGAAAATTATCAATAGAAAATAATCGATTATTCAATTATTCTAAAATAATCAATTATTTACAATTAATCAATTAATCGAAAATAATAGATTAATCAAACATAATCGATTAAACGAAAATATTCAAGGGTAATATATCAAGACCTTGATAATAGTCAGCCATTTTTGTTGAATCTAAATCTCGAGAATATTTTAATATCAATTTGATGAGACAATTAAAGCTCTCGAGCTAAAACTCTCGGGCTCTAATCAGATTATTGTATAGAATCAAATTGTAAAATGCTCTAGAAATTTAGAAACAACAAAAATAGCAGAATATTAATCAAGGTCGTGTTATATTTGGGACGACTATTTCACTAGACCAAATTGTGACTATTTTTCTAGCGAAATATTCGCTGAAATTTGGTCTAAGGAGATAGTCAATCGAAAATAATCAATAGAAAATAATCAATCGAAAATAATCAATTGAAAACAATCAATCAAAAATAATCCAATCGAAAATATTCAATCAAAAATTAATCGATAATTTTGCCCACCCCTAATTTTGCTTTATCAAACTAATACTTTTTAGATGTTATAAACGTTATGCTCCATCACTATTTCATAGCGTTAAGTAATAACAACTTAGGCCGTTGAATTTTTATTAAAAAATATCCTGCGCCTATGATATAATATCCGTTGCAAAAGTATCCATGTCTGAAAAGGTCCATATACCGTAATAGTAATTCTGTATGCGGCATACGCATTCAGCCTCCGCGGCTGAAGGTGCCGGGATACAGAAATTCCGTATCGCGATACTGTATGCGTCGTCCGTACCGTGTGAATAGGTCCATTTGAATGTATAGTCATCCTGAATCTCGGATACGCGTATCTGGCATACAGTATCCTCGTGTGAAAGAGCACTAAGAGACTTCAGCCGTTTTCAGATAAAGTTTGTTTTGATTGCCATGTGTTTGAATAAAATAGGACTGTCATTGGTTGATGTATTATAGTGTTAAATAATTTGTAATATAGTATATCCTTTTTGTAGATAGTCTCTCAGACGGTTGTTTAAAAAATTCTAAAAATGTTTTTTTCTTTTATTATACCTACACGGTTTTATTGGTCAACTGACTTAAATAAATAATGATATTTATTAACTTTAAATAATTACAATGGTAATAAACAAGTTAAAATAGCGAATTATGCTCGGATCGATCGGAGGAGAGGAAATAGCGAATACGTCTCGCAACAGTCAAAACTTCATTAATTTTACATTCGTACAAGATTTATTAATACAATGTAGGTACTTTCTAAATACTTTAAAGACCGAGCACAAAAAGCCAAAAAAAAAACACTTTTCTAGTAGAGGAGCCCCCTTTAATTTTTAATTTGTTTCTATTTTTATTATTTGTGAAAATTTCAACTGTCTACCTGTTACGGATCAAGATATACAGCCCGCTGATGACAAACGGTCAGCGGAGGCTTAATAATAGGGTTCCGATGGTTACCCTTCAGGTACGGAACCCTAAAAAAGGAACAGATCGAAAGTTCTAATAAATTAAGTGATATGTTTGAAACGGCCGGTATTATCGAAACTTTTGAGGTTCTAGTGTCAAATTTTAAAACGAAAATTAATCTTGATAATGAACATCTTAAAATCCGTTTTTTAAGCTAAATATGGAACACGAATGTTTAAGTATTTCACCTCACTGCGTAGCGCGTAGACTTGATGCTTTTACACGCTGTGGTGCTTCCTTTGTTTGTTCATGGCTAGAAGTACAGTCGATAGTGGTATTGCGTTGCATATCATTGAGCAGATTTGAAATCTGAGTTAAGAGCTTTTAAGTAACTAAAATAAACAGAACTTACCTAAAACTGGATGCCTGACATATCCATTAATATCTACTCCATAATTTCTAATTCCAAATAGGCACGTAGCACATCTATCCATTTTTAATAGGCTCTTAGAAAGGAAATCAGTTTTTACCTCGAAACACTGAAACAGAAAAACAATCGTATATTATCTAAAATCTGAATAAGAGCGTCACTATAACTATCGTCAAAAAAATAGTGTTATGAAACTATCATGTAATGGTAGCTGTTAATTCACGAGCCTGAAATAAGATAAAAAACGAGTCGTAGGCGATTACAACGATTACATAGACTGCATACACTATTTTTTCTACAACTACATATTGAATAAAAATATTAATTCAAAATTAATCTTCTTTAATCCATGTAATATAATACAATTTTTCGTAGTTTTTCTGGATTTTTGCGGTACTAGACTTTCACACACATTTTTCGCTTTTTCTAAAATTTCCGGTGGTGGGAAAGGTAATTTATTATCAATATCGTTGCTTAGACATTTTCTGTTTTGTATTAGTTGAAAGAAATTACACCTTTCAAACGGAGCTTTCATTTCAAAAATGTTTAAGATAAACATTACCCTGCCTAATACACAGTGGCGTAGCGTGGGACAAAGGGCGGAGGGGGCGAAGCTTTTCTGGGGCGCTCAAACGCAAAGGGCGAGGAGGAGGAGGAGGAGGAGGGGGGCGTCGTACTCTACAAGCTACACCACTCCTAATAGATTATTGTAATTTATCAACGGCGAACAACTACTAAGATCAGTTATCGTTATTGTCAACATAGTTACCCGAGAATACCAATCAAGGAGAGGCGACAGCTTGGTGTTTTCAGTGTACCGTTTTGTAACGCGCATGTACGAAAATAAGTTATGTATCACTCAAAATTATGTTATCTGTCAAAGTCAGTCCAAGTTGTGTTTAGTACGTGAGCAATGTTAAGTGATATTTTTTGGTGTTTGTTTTGTGTAGTAATAAGATGAAGATTTTTACACACTTAGGTATTCTAATGCAGATATAAAATGTGCCAAAAAAGTTATTAGGAAACTAAGAATTTTATCACATGCATAAATATTAAGTATAATGATTTAATCATTTTTGACATTTTATTTTTCATATGTAGGTATTGTATTTTGTGAAATATATGTTTTTCTTCTTTTAAGTAAATTTAATAAACAATGAACTGTAGATTTTGTTTATTTTATTTTGAAATTATATTTAAAAAATATAATAAATTCGCTTATTTCAATTAGGATTGGTCAAAGTGGGCAAAATCCCTTTATTATGGCTAAATTGTAAGTTACAATTATGTCAATATAAAGATGTTTTGCCCATTCATATTTGCATCTATTGAATGAATCATACTGAAGTTGATTTTGGAAATATTGGTGCATACTTAAATAAATACTATTTCTAAAAATTCGTCTATGCACACATAGTCCAATGGACGTCCACTTTAGATCTATTTGAGGGTCAGGACGTCCATATCCGGGCATCCAGTGTACGTCCGTTTATGCTAATTAAATTGACAGCTGAATATCGATACCCAGAGAACGTCTGTTTTTGGACTTAATTTTAAGTTCAGTAGTATTTTGACGTCCAGTCGACGTCCATCTTAGGTCATTATTTATTAAGCCTACCAGATAATACCCATCTATATACTTCTTTTTTTTAATATAACTGGTCATTAAAAATTGACAAATTGAATCTATTGCATTTCATTCTATCAGCGGAAGTTTGAAATCTTATTCAATTATAACTGTATCTAGTAAAAAGTTTTCAAGTGGTTCCTTGGTCGAGCTCGTCTAGCGATTGAAAGCGTAAAACGATAATGGATGTGTCGTGAGTTCGATTCCTGCCCCGGTCAAGAGATTTTTAATAAAAAATAAATAAATGGTGTATAGCGATTTGCGAAAATAATAAACAATTTATTAATAATATAAAATAATGTGTGGTGGTGAGTTGCGGTTCTGTAAAAAAGTGGGGAAGTGGTCTCAATGGAAATATAATCCTGGACGTTTTTTGAATGTCCAGTATTCGACGTCCAAATATATTCCAGCATTGGACGTCCTCGGAATGGTCAAAAGTGTGCCATTTGTATACTTCACTGGACGTCCAGTGGATGTCGGAAGTCTAGAAAATTCATTTTTGGACGTCTAGACATCCAAAATTGTATATCGAATGGACGTGCAATGGACATATTTGTATTGTCTGGGTAATAGCCAGGCCAGGTATTTAACTCTAAACACATAAACCTTAAATGCCATCTGGTTTAACTTGGCGAGAAAACACTTGTTTCTACAGAAATGAGTGATAAACTTGAAAGTCCTTTTAATATAATATAAATCTAGAAATTCTAAAAATATGTAAGTACTTTTTAAATAAAAGCTTTGAAAATATATGCACATTGCAAATATTTAGTTAAACCTCTCAAACTTAATGTTTTTTTTTGACACCCTTAATTTTATTTACCTTATTTTTAGTTAAGGAAAAGGTAATTTAATTTAAATATGGGGCTTTTATTACATTTTTAACAATAAATAAACCAAATATTGAACAAATTTTATAGATAAATTATAAAATAATAAACGTCTTTTACTTTTATAACAAATAATTAATTATTACCTAATGAATTATATTTTGGTGCCGAAATTTCAGCATTGCTATTAACCCTAACTACTTCAATGTAATTAAATCACATTGCAACATTTGCGCATGGACTATAACAATAATTTCAGATAATTTGCCAAACTATTTCGCTCAGTGTAGAAAATAAGCATGTTTTCTCAGCGTGCTAAGTTGTGTATCAGTCAAAGTCATACTGTGAAAAAGGTACATCCGATATCAAAGGCACCGACAGCTACTGTCGCTTCTCCTTGATCGGTATTCTCGGTAGTTACCATAATATTACATGAAAATCTAGGATTGTAATATTAATAATTTTATTCATTAAAAAAATACAATATAAACAAGTATATTACAATTTTTTATTCACATTGGGGTCTATTCTGTAAAAATTCCTTTATATTTAACGGCCTTTAAAAATATTTTCTTCTTTAATTCGGTCACTATTTAAACGGATCTTTAAAATACATTAGAGGACTATCTTAAAGAAATCTGTTTAAATAATGATAGAAGTAAATTAACGAATACAAATATACTTTTAAAGGCCGCCAATATTTTTAAAGGCCGTTAAATATAAAGGAATTGTTACAGAATAGATCCCTTTAAACGCTATAAAGTTAACAAAACAAACAAAATAAATGGTAGGTAACTTTTCTTTTAGGGAAGCAGTGGTCATTTAATTTTTGTAATATTAAAATTAATAGTCCTAAAAATCAAAATATAATGAAATATCCACACCTATCCAGTTCTAAGAGTTTCTCGTAGTATCGTTTTATTGGCCATATTTTTCGTGAAACTAATCAAAATCATGTATCTTCGAATTTTTACGATAAACTGGTATATATCGTATAATGTATGATAAAATTGTTGTTTACAATCAAACTAGTATTGGTATGCCGGATAAGATTTCATAGCGTCAAGTTACCATTATGGTTTCGCATGATTGGAATTTTAAATTTGTTTTCACAACTTTATCTCTTCACAATTAGAATTTATAAAAGGAGCCGGCAAATAATTCTGCAAATAAAAAATTAAATGAGGGATTCAATAGATTATTTTATTGTTTTTCAAAGTACCAAAACCATTTGCTTCCAAATACAGTTTTTTTTTTAATGTGGATGAGTGGGGCATCGTTAAAGAAAAAGATTCATTATATCTAAATGGAGAAAATAGAAAATTGATAATTACTAAAAAAACAACAAATAAAATTGTTAATTTGGGAGATAAAATGTTTGGATATTATAAAAAAATATTATACGAATACATGTTATAAAAATTGAAAAAAGAAGAATGTATAATGTATCTGCCAAAGAGGGTTAGGAAACTAATTCAAAAATTTGATCAGTTAAGGAAAATATTACACGAAAAATCATGATGACAACCTAGTCATATGTTATCTCTTTTAAAACACAGGTATTCGTGATTCAAGCTAAGCGATACGTCCTCTGGAGGATATTTGTGAAATGTGTGTATAAGTAGGACTTTTTCCAATGACGCCAACAGTAGCGGAATTCCGTTATGTTCACGGATTTTGACACCTTCTAGCAGTGGAAAGACCTTTTTTTAAGTAGAAAAATTTGTGTCTACCAATATCCTCTAAATTTGTTTAAGGATTTTATAAAACAGATTTAATTATATTGATTTTTTCTTTAAATTTCAGTTCATTCATCATTTTTTTTAAATCAGTTTATCAGTTGGCAACATTATCGTGGTATTCGATGTATATAGATAAATTTGTATCAATGATCAATTCAATTGTTTTCTTATTTGTGAGCATTAAATTTGTTTATGTCTTACAATGTGTTTATATTAAAAATGAAATTAGCGAAAAAGCCCCAAGCATATTGAAATTTATATTTTGCTTTTGGTTGAATTTCAAAACCAAAACGTAAATTTTCCAAGCGCAAGTCCTAAAATTTTGTTTCTTGTACAAACTCACATTATTGGGATTTTGTTACATTTTATGTCTAGAATCAAACTGCATTCTGCATTGTGACAGTTTTATTTCGGTTTACACGCAAGAATATAAAAATAAAGATACTTAAATTTTTAATTAAGTTTATCAATGATAAACGTTAGGTACTAGAAATTTCCTTTAAATTTCTTTTAAAAATAAAATGTATTGCGTTTAGTTAACAAATATTTCTAGATGTTTGTGTGGCAGTCTTAAACACATGATTTATGATGAAATAATGAAAACTAAACTTAAATTAACACTAAATGTAACTCAATAACACTATTATAATGATAATAACTAAAAAAAGTTAAAAAATCACAAATACAAAAGCCCTTCCAAAACCAAATATCCTACTTATAGGTGACAGATATAACCAGAAAAGATCGGAAGCTTGCATCTGCCTAAGCAAGAACAGGCTACGTATTGTAACAGGGATCCTTACCGGGCATTGCCGACTAAAAGGACACCTAAGTAAACTGAGAGTAGTAGAAGATAGTGAGTGCAGATTCTGTGAGGAGGAGGACGAAACCTCCATTCACATCCTAACTG